GCTGTCCACTCAAGTTTTACCCCCTGCGTTTTGGAGCCACAATGCAGGTGTGTGTGAGTGATGATTACGAGCTTGGCTACCAGCAGTCAGTGCCGTTTGGTGGTTTCTTCAGTTGCAATGCTGGTAATCCGCTTGGAGTCCCGAAATCCGCAGTCAACGGCCAGGGTATGTAGATACGTCATGATATAGATATCACGTGACTTAGAATAATGTCGCACATGCAAATTTTCCTTTCAGCTTTGGAATTTCACGGTGCTTACCATTTAGCTAAACTGATCCGAAAATTTCGGTTGAAAATCAAATGGACTAGACAGTTTCCAGACATGATGTTCGAAAACTTTGGACCGCCACAGAGGTGCTCCTCTTTTTCCGTTTAACACGGAAATCTCGTTATCATTAATTCTCTTCTCCAGTTTCCAGTCTCTCATCCACGGAAAACAGTAGATGGTTAAGGTTGTCCAACCAGGCTGCTATTATTTAATTGTATTTTTGTCGTTTCTTTCTTCTTTATAGATTCAAACCTGGCGTCGTTTGTCAGTCAGTCTGGTCCATCTGGTTGGCCGAAGTCCTGTCCAACCGGTTACTCTCAACACCTTGGCGCCATCGAGGAAGATTGTGAGATCAACTTTTGTGTCAAAGCGAACATATTCAACAACCAGGGATTACCAATCATCAAAAGACCTCCCTACTCAAGTGCGCCTAAAATTTTCAACTACTCTGTGCCTTTGCTTTTAGTTAACCACGACACTGGCCAGATCTGGTTTAAACGTCCCGGCTCTCTTCAGTGGACTTTAGCAACTAAAAGGTATTTGAGGATTTATCTTTTGGTCTCACGATATGGTCACGACTGTAATGTTCTCACCTGAACCCTCATCCCTCCCCTCCCAATCCATACTTGTTGCTCTCAAGGCTCCAGTAGACCTGCACCTCTTCAAAACTTCTATTTTGATTCGTTCTTGTTAATCTGCACCTCTTTTGTTTTGGGGGCTAGGGGCATTGTTTGTGTTGTTTGCCTATTGTTTTGTTTGGCCAGTCACGAAGAACCTTGTAAACGGTGCAGGTCGGCCCCAAGGCTCTCGCTGAGGAAAAATTCGAAGGGACTGGGGATCAGGGGCAGCAGTTATGTATAGTTGGTTGCCGGTTTCTACCACTGATGTGGTTCGGGTTGTCGCCCTGTTTTATGTTTTTTTAAGAGGCTTATTCTCTGGGCTTTCTACGGTTTTGTCCCCCTCAAACGATGAAACCAGCACTTCAAAATTCAAAGATTGCATGCATGGAACCAGCTACAACTTGCGTGGCTTCCATCTCTTAAAATAATAATTTTATTATTGAAATATTTATCCGCTTTGTCACTCAGCTCTGTTGCGGAGTTCGCAGCTGTATCCAGCATAGACGGACCTGGTATAGTTGGCATGAATCTCGCCGAGACCAACACGCAAGACAAACAAAAGTCTTCCCAGGGCACCCCTGATAAAATGGGCGCTGGAACTGCGGCTGGTATTACGTTTGGCGTTACGGCTTTTGTCGGATTAGCTATCGCTGCCATGGTGATCGGCTGGCGCCGGCACAAGAGCGTTCACAGGGACAGCAGTGGTTTGATGGAGCCGCTGAATTCGCGCATTGGATATGGCACTACCAACGATGAAAGCAGCCCACGAGTTTGATTATAAAACTTGCTGCTGAGCAGCATGTTTCACTTTTAGCAATCTGATGATGATGACGACGACGACGACGATGATCATGACGACGGCGACGGCGACGTCGACGATGACGATGATGATGATAGCAATAATAATATAACATCCACAGAAAGATGTCTAGTGTAAGCAAGTGGGTCAGTTTGTAGCTGCATGTGTCGCGGTCATCTTGAGTTCACCCACCTGCTGGAGACATTTTTAGACCGAATTTCTAGAATTCCTAGTACATTAAATTAACATGGATAAAGCAACTCAGATCGTTTAGCGTAACTGTAATTCCAGTCACCACAATCATGTTAAACTTTGATACTCTTCGCCTTTTTAGGACGCGTGCAATGAGAGCGCGCTCAATAGAGAGTTAAGCATGCGCACGTTGTAATCTTTGAAAAACTATCGCATGATACTAATAGAAATAAAAACAAATTGTTGCTGTGTAGCACTTTGAATTGAATTGCATTAGATAAAGTTTACAAAAAGTGCTTTAAGGTATTTTTATTTTTAGAGACTTTTCAGGAAAAACCCCTATCATCAGTCGCAAATTTGTTAAACAAACGTTATTGTTCACGCGCGGCTAATGGCGTAGATGCTCTTGAAAATGTTCCGCGCGCGCGTGCGAGTTCTTAGGCCCGGTTCAAACGTCGAACTTTTCATGAGCCGAACCTAATATAGGCTCGATTTCCGCCGCTTTCTCGAGTCCGGTCTACAGCGGCTGGTAATCGAGCCTAAACCTAATAGCCCCAATTAAGTACATGACGAGATCGACGTTTGAATCAGTTAAGTTCGACACATGTTATTTGCGTCGACCCGAGAATTAAGTTCGACATGGCCAGTCGTTCAGTTCGACAACAGAGCGACTCCGATTTAAATGTCGAACTTTTCATGTACCGAACCTAATGCATACATTACAAATACATTAAATAAATTAATTTTTACCCAGAGTTCTGCATGCGTACACAAGTTGTTTTGATCTTTTGGAACAAAATGGCGGGAAGAGCGGGAAGATATGTGTTCCTCCTGTTTCGAGAGCACGAAATATACTTGCTTGATGTGCATGAATCATTTCTGTATGCGGTGTTCCGTATTTGACAGCGACAAGAGTGTAGCGGGTTGGAAAGTAGGTAGTTCGGTTGCGTACTACGAGTCATGTTTTTGAGAGAAAATGACAAAATAAATGAATCTTGAAGAAACCGACGACAGGAACGAACTGGAGGAGCCTCGTCACATGCAGTTGAACTGTGATGTTCCTTAGGGAATAAGCAATAATAGAAGGCAAACCAAATTCAAAACTCGTCTTCGGTTGTTAAAGGCTAACTGTATCTGGAGTCGCCTTCTTCGACTTGTTCTACCCTCCTTGATCGCACTTGCAAGAAAAGCAAGCTCTTCATTTCCACAATTTGTCTTTCCCACATTTTTTCCGCCATTTTGGTCAGCGATAACCGCCGTTTGCATTAGACTTAATTATTTGGGTCGACCCAAATTGGTATTAGGTTCGGCACATGTAAAGTTCGACGTTTGAACCGGGCCTTATTCATAAAGGAGAATTCAACTGAACTTGAATTCAATGTTCCAGCCCTTTATTAGGAGCTAGTGATCCCAGTCGGAAGATCAGCCGTATCTCCTCGCGCCGTCTTACAGTCGTTCCACCCTGTACCTGCCTTATCACGGAGAACCTCATGTCCTGGATTTTATTGTGATCAGGAAGTTTGAAGTGCTCGCCAACGGAAATCCACCGACTTGGTAGCGAGGGTTCTTCTTGTAACCCTCCACTGAACGCTGAACGAGGGTGCACCCCGAAACGGTCCGCAAGCCGCCTACGACCGGTTTCCCCAACGTGCAACTTGTGATAGCGTTGGCAAGCGATAACAAGCGATGACATACACTACGAAATATCCTAAAATTCGTGCCAACACTATAAAATCGGTGTGCGGTGTACGCACTTTTGGCAGTTGTCGTTATGGCGTATTTCAAAATACCCACTATCAAATTAGTAACATTTGTTCATGCCGTAAAAAATCATTGCGCTCACTGTTCGAACAAACACACTTTTTTGTTTACTGACTGTTTTTTTTCAAAAAAGATGTAATTATATGGGATTACATTTCCTTAGTTTATATTTTCTTTACAGAATAACGTGTACATTCGCGTTATGTTGCTTTGCGCTTTTGTTTGTTTGTTTGTTTTTTTTATTTCACTTAAAGCGAATGTTCTGAATCACGTTTTTCAGTTAGAATGACTTTGTTTGAAACCTAACAGTAAAAGAAGTGTTGGGTTTATACTATATTATAAATTAAACACCAGCATTATTGAGGGATATGTTTGGCGCGCGAAGCGAACGCGGAAGTAGATGTTGGTTTTGCAGTTCAATGTCGACGTTCCATTTGAAACTTGTAGTGCATTAACGATTTTAAGGAACTAGGTATAATGGACCTTTTCGTGATACGGCGGCCATTTTGAATTCTATTGTTTCGAATAGCTATTATGGGATGCTCAGGGGGTTAAAGCATGGAATGGTCCCCTGAGCATCCCATGATAACTATTTGAAACAATAGAATTCAAAATGGCCACCTTATCGCCGAAAAGGTCCATTGAATAGCAATTAACCTAGAATGTTTGTAATCGGAACAATTTTTGAGCTATGTTCTTAACCTGAAGGTTACCATATGTTGAATTGTAATAGATCTTACTCGCTTTCCCGTTTTCCGTTCTTGCTTCATTTATTATAAACCATGTTATGATGCTCTTGAGAATTCTTTCTTTCAAATTTTCAGTCGCGTGTATATGAATGAACAGTCTGCCTTAATTGGATAAAAGAACAATTGTATAATAGCCCGCAGAACAGTTGGATTAGCGGGGCAGACTGAGCGAACTGCGATACACGAGCGTGTAGCGTGACCACTTGCGCGAAGCGCGAGTCACGCTCCGCTAATCCGCCTGTTCAACGGGCTATTGTGTAAAGAATATAACATGGTCTTTAATAAGGAAACAAACCACCCAAAATAAAGCAACATGTTTTATTTCTTACTTCTGCAAACAGTAACGAGTGTTTTTAAATGGAGGAGAGTTTGCCTTAGATCGACACGGTCGTGAGCGCTGGGAGGCGGGAAAGTGAGGTGTGCCCCGGCCCCCAAAGATAGTATTTCGGCAGACAGCCAAAAGCAAAAACGTATAAGAAAAAAAAAACACTTTCTAGACTGTTTCACATTCCAATTAAATTTTTTAGGAACATAAATTTTATGGGTCATGCAATATTCATAATCGTTGCACTTTTCACAGTACGTCCTAAGTACGTAGACAAAGTTTTTCCGATCGCAATTGGAAGGTGTCACGTAACAAAACGACGCTTTCTTATGATGCACGTCACGTTGGCTTAAAAGTGTTTTTGTTTTTCCCCCACACAATATGTGTAATTTGCATTTTTGATCGAGAAACGCGTTTCACGCAGAGATGCTGAATAGATTTTCATTGCAATTTAAACCAACAAAATTTCGACTTCTCATTTTAGTGAGGAAAATTCATATTTTGGCCAAAAAAGTGGTACCCCGCGTTTTCCACTTAGACCCCGTGTTTTCCACTTAAACCCCGTGTTTTCCCCCAGACCCCTTGTTTTCCACCACACCACGGGACCCCGTACTCTGGGACCCCATACCCCATACCCCAGGACCCCGCCCCCGCGTTTTCCATCTACTATAGTCCCCTCAGCCTGTATAACGATGCTTAGGTGTTCAACCTGCCAATCACAAATCCCAACGGGTCACCAATGCTCCCATTTGATTGGCTTACTCATTCAAGTCTAATTTTAGGGCGTAACGAGTTGCCACAAAATTCTGGAGAGCGATCGGGTGTAATTTTCGGTTTTTGCTTTAGAAGTAAGGAATTCCTTTTGAATTAAGCGAGCGATAGCTTCAGGAGGAAGAGTTTAGAAAGATAATATTTTGAGAGTTACATGATTTCTTTAAGTTGAGAATCTGCTTTAGAAAAAGTTCTCTTTCTTAATTTCTACAGTGTATCATGTGATGTTGAACGTTGAAATATGCCGTTCAACATGTTGAAAGTTCAGTTGAAAGTTGTTGAACGTTGTTGAACGTTTGTTGAACGAAAATAGAGCTTGGCTCTATTCCGTTCAACAAGTTGCCGCTTGTTGAGCGGCTTCAACCAATCGTTTTCGAGTTTGGTGTCACGTGGCTTCGTGGAAATACCAACATGGCGGCCGAAGAGTTGGAATCAGCTGAGTTCGAATGGAGTTTTGATAACACCGGTTTTTTTCGTCTTTTTTGTCGACGCTTCATGTGATAACGGCGACAACACTCGAAGCACAGAGCGACAGCGACATTTCCTCGTCTACCATTTCAACTTCGCGCCAAAATGTGTCGCTGTTGCTCAACAAAAGTTGAATGAGTATTCAACAAGTTGCAACAACGTTTCAACAAGTCGCAACAATATTCAACATTTGTTAATCAACAAAAAGTTGAACGATGTTGAGCCGTGTATCATTCGCTTTACGAACGCAATTTTTGTTTTTATTGCGGCATTCAGCCATAAGTCTTCCTTCTCCTTTCTATAAACGTCGATACTCAGGCGAAATGTTACTTTGACATTTTTCAAGTTCTCTCTGTTTTCCTCGTGGTATTTTTTTGTTTCGAATTTCTTCGCTCTGAATGAGCAGTTTAAGGAATAACAGTATTGTTCAATTTGCGTTTTGTTTGCACAATCATCACGCTAATAAATCCAAATAATTTTGAATATCTCATCAAAATCACCTCTCGCGAGATTTGCTTTCGTCCTCGGCATGCTCAGATAAGTCGAAACAGATAGCTCGTTGATCGCAGCTTTGTTTTCAGTTTTAGCAGCGAAATTTGAATGTTCCGTGAACTGAATGCCAAACGGATGAAGAGAAGTCATCGTTTTTGTTCTTCCAAAGGCATCTTCCAAAGGGTTAATGTAAGTCTGTTTTTCACTGTATTTTCGGTTATTATTTACCATATTTTATTCTACGTGAATGAACCCGTTTTCTTTACTGAGCCAAAAACTACTTTTTCTTCACGACTTCTACTGTTGTGCGACCGCTGTTTCGGCTTTCCTCCATTGCCCCAAAAAACAACGCCAACAAAGTTACCTTTTATAGGCTCGCTCCGTGTTAAACTGCTAAGACAATCTATATTCATATATTTTATTCCCTACCATCTATTTTTCTCGGGACAAAATAAAAAAAAAAATCAAAAAAGTTGGCTTGACTCGGGGTTGACTCGTTGTTGACTCGTGACTCGCGGTTTACTTGGGCTCGCGGTTGGCTCGTGTCACGCTACAACTCAGACAAGATGTTGGTTGGCCGCATTTTCTGTCCGTCTGGGAATACCAAGAGAGGTCTATTATGGTAAACACTAACGCGTGATCAAGGGAACGTCTGATCACAGGTTAGGCAATCACGAGTTGTGTCCAAGACAATGGCGTGATTAAAGTCTATGTCATAATATGGATTGATCACGGTTCTCTTTATTATTTCTGGCGTTGCAATGGTGTCCTTGATAGCTAGGCTTTTCCTGGCTTGTGCACTGATTTTTGCCATAGTTGGCACCAGTTTTGTATTCGCTCACAATGATTCGTCACCCTATAATTTTCCTTTCGGTGATCCACGACTCTGTCCTGTTCCAAACGGAATTTATCGATTCGAAGTTCTTCCCGGCGGCGGATGGGACAATTTGAGGAATAAACATATGGGTGTTGTTTCTTCGCAGAATTACTCCAAGTGTAAAACCTCAGATGACGGCAGGTATCTTCTGCCTGATAATGTGTTCCTTTATCCT